CCCCCCACATCTTAGTGTCATCAGCAAACTTGAACAGGGTGCTTTGCACCCCCTCATCCAAATCACTGATGAAGATGTTGAACAGGGCGGGCCCAAGGACCGAGCCCTGTGGGACCCCACTTGCCAGGAGACAGGTGCTCAGATGAACAGGGTCTCTCCCATTCCCCACTGGTCCCCCCTGGTAAGTTTGTAGACAGCCACCAGGTCCCCTCTCAGCCATCTCTTGTGTTAGTTTACTGCTCCATAACAGACAGTGACAACTAAATACAACATTGTAAAAGACACATTTATAACATCAAACTCTTCTGTTTCAAAATAGCTAGACACAACACAATCTTTCACCCCAAGGACAAAGTGTGCTGTCTTCTGTTAACAGCAACACCCTATTATGGAGTTATCATTTTGTACAGGAAATAAAGCAAGAAAACAGGAAGTACAGGTGGCAGATTTTGCAGTAGCAGAAATATTGGTCTTAACCATACTCACACATGCAGATCCACCCGCACCTCACCCTGACTGGAGAAGCAAATAGCAAGTGACATTTATAGCAGCTCTTCAGAATGGATACTGGAGGGCTGCTGGCTGAAAAAATTAAGTGTAGGGGCTTGATTGTCAGAAAGGTTTGCTTTGTAATTCTCAAGTGCTAATAAGGTTACTTTTGCTTCCATCCATCTTTGTTGAAGTAGTCCTCTTGGAGACTGTCTCCTCTATTAATTGGAGGTTCTTCAGATAAATTACAATAGCCATTATGAATCCTAAGCAGCCTTATAAAAAATTTCTGAAGGTGCCACGGTGGGATCAGGTGGGATCATTCCAAGTCTCCCTGTAAACAAGCCACAATATTTACATGAGAGATAAAGCTGGACATGCCTGAATTTGGGGCTTTTCACATCTGTAATTTTGAGTCAGGCAAATTGCTACTGTAGACACATACTACCGTGACAGTCAGTACATGAAGCCAGGCTAATGCACATTTTAATTGAGATCACTTTTGCTGAAAAATCCACTCCTGATCAATCAGCATTTAAGTCACTGCATAGTAAAGGATAAAACAAAAGCATGTTAACCTAGGTCAGTGGTTCTCAACCTTTTCAGATTTAGAGCACCCCTCTATAACTTTATTTTTTTTTTTAAATTTGGAGACACCCCGGGTGAGAACCAGAGTTGTGCTGCCTCAGCTTGCTTCCGTTCTTCTCAGCTGGGTTGTTGCTGTTGCCACAGCCCTGTTGGTGGTGGAACTGCCCCATTTGTCTTGTGCAAAGCCAGACTGGATAAACTGCAGCAGGAACGCCTGCTTTTACCACAGCCTTCTGGGTCTGCCCCTACCCTCAACACTCATCCCAGAAACAGAGGGGCATGGGACAGTTCCACTTGCCAGGAGACACTGCATAGGGATGAAACAGGAGCATGTGCTCCTCCATCTGGCTGTGTATGGGGCGCACAAGGCAGTTCCACCTGGCCACTGCACTGGCAGCCCCTGCACCATGGCATCCCTGAAAAGGTACGGATGCAACGATGCCCCAGTTGAGAACTTCTGGTCTAGGTAAAAACTGAACATTGTCCTGCATCAATGGGAAATGTGACAGCACTCTTTCATTTTCTTCTGCTGAAGTTAAATCTGCAGCTCTTAAAATGAAATGACCACCAGATTAAAAGGGAAAAAGGGAATGCTGCGTTACTGTAAGGTCCCAGAAAACAGCAGCGCAATAATAAATGTGTGCTTACAGTGCACCGTTGTAAAAGATCAAATAAATTGGAGTGCAGAATAAACGCAAATAATTACTATTAGGATACAGAGCTTTTTTCAGCTAGGTTATAGTCCAAGCCTAACCAGCAATGGCAGTGACTTGGACCAAGATTTTCAAAAGCAATTAGTGATTTTTGGGTACCTATCTGTGACACTGAAGGGATGTGATTTTTAGAAGGTGACTGGTCAGTACTGAGAACCAGTCATACAAATGACACTGGAAGCAATGTTACACAGTATAATGCTCCCAGTTCACATCTTAGTGTTCACATCATGGAAGATGCTATTGGTGCTGTCATTTGGGTCACGCTTCCATTTAGAAACAGGGACATAACTCTTAACTAGAGCTCCTCCACTGCAGTCTAATGGTACATTGTGGGGAAGACTGTACTGACAGTATTTCACTACAACATTAGTCATCCAGGGATGTCAAAGCCAAGATCTTTTGGAAGCTTTATATTTACTTTGAAAGAGCTTTAGAGAATACTATGAATCCCAGACAAACCAAGAAACTGGCTAGAGGTGTGAAGAACTAAGGTAAGAACTGCTAAATGTCTCTGTTGTTGCCATATAAGATTTTAGAGGAAACTTCATTATCATACAACATATATATACACAAAAATAGAACTGTTTACCCCATTAGTGTTTCTGGGATAAAATGTATGGGCCATCTTCATTTCAGCTTCTGTTAATAAAATAAATGATTTGATGGTTTCTTTGGATTCCCCCCACCGCCCCTTTTTATTTTGTCTAAAGAACGTTCATTTCCCTTACCAGGTGGATGAGCTGTATGAAGCCTATTGTATCCAAAGACGACTCTGTGATGGTGCCAGCAAAATGAAGCAAGCATTTGCAATGTCTCCTGCCAGCAAAGCAGCTCGAGAGAGTCTGTCTGAAATCAACAGAAGTTACAAGGAGTATACAGAGGTAGGTGCTGACCTGTTTGGCCCAGGCCGACACAGAAGTCCCTCAGGTGCATTGTCATCTTTTTATGGGAATTTTGCCTGAATAAGGACTTCCAAGTGGTGTCTATAAGTTAGATAATTTACTTTCTGTTTTGTAAAATGTGACTGAACAGAAGCAAATGAAAAATAGGCCCATCCAATTCTCTGGGACATTTGGAGAACCGTAAATACATGCTTTACACTGTCGATCAGAACAAATGAAGTAGTCACAGTGCTCTAAATGACATTTATGTTGCAGCATACCAATACCAATATCACTATCTAAACATGTACACTGGGGCCACTGGGCAGAAAAAAAGCCTAAATCTATCCTGCATGCACCTGTATTCCAACTGAGTCTTAATAGCTTTCAGTAACTGAACAGTACATTTTAGTCCCTGCTAGCTGGAAACCCATTAATGTAAAGCCATCTGCTATATCTTTTCTGGTCTTATTCATTATGGTCAAATGTATTTCATTAACAGGAGGGTGATATGGAAAAGGTTTTAGTACCATTACAGCCATAACAGCTTGTAGGCCATTGCAATCTCCTCTGATATAGAAAAAGCATTTGGTAGTGTCCACAGTGCCCATCTCTCCATACAGCCACTTTCATGCTGTATTCCATATATTTTGAAATATAAAAAACAAGTTAAGAGTCACTTTGGTACATGTCCTTGATGGAGCAAGAGAGAAGAAGAAAAGTAACCAGTTTATACCCTTCTCCCAGTGCAAAAAAAAAAATGTTTGGCTAGATTCAGCTGTGAAGTAAAGCAAACCTTGCTGTCCTGAAATCTACTGAGCTGTACACCTGTCTACCCCAGGGCACACTTGACATATTGATTATAATTTGAAAATACTTATTTTTACGTAGCCAACAGTTTCCAAATACTCCTTTAAAAGTCAGAAGTGGGGGTTGGTCTGATGTCAATCTTCTGTTTTCCAACACAGAACATGTGTACCATTGAAGCAGAACTGGAAAGCCTATTGGGGGAGTTTTGCATCAAGATGAAAGGTAATTACTTCCCCCCTCCCCTTCTTTGCATGAACAGAACTGCAAGAGCTCTCTGTATGCATTCCTGAAAGCTTTGAGAGCACGAGCTAATTTAGGTTTAATGTACGATAGGTTTGTTTTTCCCATCACATCAATTTCTGAGCGTTCAAAACGGTGACTTACATCTACATCCAATGGAATGGATCACACAGATATGAACATCAAAGTTGCACAGTGAGCTCTTCAAAGATCATTCTTCTGATTTTTGAGAGAAGGGGCTAATTAGACTACATCACACACTCATTTTGATAGCCAAAGCAATGCAATTTCTAAGACTACTGTGATCTTTTGCCTCTATTTTTGTAACTGTCCAACTTTTATAACTAAGAAACTGTCATGCCCGTGGAACTGAATTTTAAGATATGTTCTTAATTTGATACCAGTGTTTTCAAAGTCACTTTCCATTTACAGAGTCTTGATTTTTTTAAGCAAAATTTGAAGGGTGGTGGTGTCTTACATTTTAACAACTCATCTAGGTCAAGAGGATATTCCCCCTTTCAATCTTAAGACCCATGTCTTTTTTATGGTAGAGGTCTGACTTCTTTCACTAGATTAATGACTCTGAATACAATAGTAGTTCTTACCTGAAGCCAATCTTACTGAAATAGACATCCTTTGACAATCTTAGTGACTCATTAGGTGTCAAAAGTGTTGTTTTAAGACTCAGGGTCTTGGAGCAAAAAATCTAGGAAAAAAATCTGTTGGATTCAGTTCTACTTATATCTCATGTTTCTCTTTGTTGTCATCAATTGTGATCATTAAAACATAAATGCTGTTTATATGCAGGGGGCAGCCCTTGAGGTTCCTTCTGACTTTATGCTTCTCTACATGAAAACAAAATCTTTAAAAAAAATTTTAACTCCTTATTTCAAATTAGGAAACTACATAGGCTCCCATCCACACTGGGTAAAAGGATGTTGCAAAAACCGTTGGTTGGAGGATCCTGAGCTTGCTATGCATATACAACACTGTACTTCCACATGCTACAAGTCTTTTACAAGCATTAGTTCTATCAGTTGGTTATAGCACCTGAGACAAGAGCTCTATTTAGATAAGGTCAAGCTGAATTGGTGCAGTCTGCAATGATTTACCCCAAGAAGATGGAAAGTGGCAACTAGGATGGGTTGGTTAGTCTTCCAACTTCATCCTTGCAATGCCTCACATTTAAAAGTCCCTGCTTTCAGTGGTGAACTACAGGTCAAATAGGAGTCTACCAGTACACTTTGGTATAACAATAAAAGCATTTAGGCTGCCCCCCCGACCCTGTCACCCTAAAACTGCTATGTGGAGACACTATGCCAGTGACTCGGGCAAACACTGCAAAAGCTTGTTCTGGCAATCAGGGTTCCTGCTGGGGTTTCCTGATTGTAGATGCACACACTTTTGGGTTTGACCTCTTTGTTGCTTATGCTAGAGATGCCATCACAAATGACATGGCTTCAAAGACTTGATCCTGCACTTATTAAATATTCATATCTTCCAGTAAAATGAATGGAAACCCTACTGAAGCTTGATCTTTCATACCATGCACTTAAATGGGGAAAAATAAGCTGGAATATAATAGTCATAAATACAAATCCTGATTACTAGCAGAAGTCCCTCTTCTGAGGACGAGGAAGAGTATGTAGGCCGTGTTCATACTTACGCTGCGTTGCTGTCAGGTAGCAGCCAACACAGCCAAGCCATTAGAGTGCATGCCCTCTAATGGCAGCTCTGCATGGCTCCATTCAGCAGCTGTGGTAGCAGGACTCAGACAGCTTCCTGGAAAGACATCTGCTACTGCTGTTGAAGGGACTGTGGCAGCTGAAAAAAGGCCCAGAAAGTGCCTATGTGTGTCTTCTATTGAGTGTCAGGTGGTGGCAGAGCCTCAGTTTTGCAGGCAGAACTGTAGTGCAGGGTAGACTAGAACAAAGTCAGAATATTTTCTAGTTAAGATATTTAAGATTTTCCATAGGATGGTTTCATTTTTTCAACAGAAATCATCCCATAGATCAGTGGTTCCCAATCTGTGGTATGCATACAACAGTGGTACATAGACAACCTGTCAGTGGTACAGATTTATAATTACTTTATATGACAAAAATTTGCTGGTGGTACTTAAGGTTGAACTGAAAAATTTGCTGGTGGCACTTAAGGGGGTATTGTTTTAAATTGGTGGTGCGCAATGTGTCCGAGTTTGGGAACCGCTGCCATAGATGATTAAATTCAGTCAGAGGCGCTACTGGACCTTTCAAACAGCAACAGCACTAGAAAATACAGGGTATAAAGCTACACTCTGTTTGTGACGCTGGTTGCATCTACATGAGACACTGACTGTGCACTTACTGTGCAGTCATTTAATACTTGCATACCCAAGTACTAAATGACCGCGCAGTAACCAGAGCTATTGCGTAGTAGTTTCCCCGCATGGCTTTGTGGTGATGCTGACTGCACAGTAGCTCATTACTACTGCGCAGTAGCATCGTGTCACAGTTCACGCCCCACAATGCTACTGCACAGTAGTAACAAGCTATTGTGCAGTAAGCATCTTGTGTGGACACAGACTGCGGCATATCCAAGTAACTCTGAGGGTGGAACTCCAAACTTTAACCCTTTTCCACTCTTTCAGTGCAAGCTAGTTTTATTTTGTGCATCATGCATTAACACTGGGGAAGACCCCACTCTCTTTCACATGCATTAATTGAAGGCCATGGACAACGTTATTGGGAGGTAAAAGGCACTAGCAGTATTTTCATAATACATGCTGTTAAAAAAAAAAAAAGAAGCCACGATCATTTTTCACAGTTCTAAAATGACCCTGCCAGAAAGGTTAGCCCTCCTATTGGGATCCACACTGGTGTTCCAAGGATTAACAAAACAGCATCATATATCATAAGAAGTCCCCCCTGCCCCTTCCCGGAAGCACCTTCTCTAGGATTCTTCTCCAAGCCTGCCTGAAAATAGAAAGTTGCAGCCTGTTGAATGACAGCAGAGGATAAATTACAAGGTCCGAAATGAGCACTGTGATCAGCTAGTCTGAGCTCATATATAAATCCATGTCAGAGGATCTCCCTGAATTTATTTCTGTTGAATCTATAGCATGTCTTCTAGAAAAGCATCCAGTCTTAATTACAAATTGCCAATAATGGAGAATGCTTCTGCTAAGCTGTTCCAATGGGTAATTTGCTCACAGTTAAAATTGTCCGCCTTGCTTCTTTTTAACTTCAATGTCCAGCCATTGAAAAGCCCTCCATTATCAAAATGTCGCTTCCCCCTGTCTGTATCTGTAAACCATGAGCAAGTCACCTCTCAGCTTTTTCTTTGTTAAGCTAAACAGGTTGAGCTTCTTGAATGTTATGGGCTACTGTAATATCACAGCCATGGTGCTGTCTCCTTTCCCAAACAAATGCCTGGTAGGCCAACTACCTCTCACCAGGCTTGTTTAAAAACAAAGACGGAGCTACATTTCTAAACCACCCTCTCTCCCCCCTCCTTCGTTCTCTTTGGCAGAAAAAAGACCTTTTATTTACATCAGAACCTTTCAGCGAGTCATCCCAGCAGAGATCAAGTTAGCTAATAAAAGCACGAGTGGGGAGAAGGAAGCAGGGGCAGAGTGCTAGTAAATGTAAATTATTTATAAACAATAAATAAATTAGAAAGTGGGAGGTAATATGAGTACCAAGCAGAGAGCTGCACTGTTCTTCTGAGTAGCAAGGAGAAAGTGGAGGATGTGCTGTGCTCTGTGAAAGAAAGTGGTGAAAGAAACCATCAAGGAAGTGCAAGGGAAGGGTCCTTATGAATAAAAGAATAAAGGAATTGGGGAAATTTGGGCCCAGATCCTTCATCCAGTGGCTATATATATATATATATATATATATATATATATATATATAGCCATATACATATATTAGTCTGTAGTCAGAGGTTGTGTGTATACTATGTGCATACTGTGACAAGTGTGATCTGGAAACCTAGATAGAATAGTTCTATGTCTAACTTCTGTGCATCTATGAAAAAAAGATAAAATAAATAATTCTGCTCCTTATCATTTGAATCTATATGCAATGTGTTGTTATCTGTTTTGGGAACTCTCCTGAGCCTTGTGATATTATTAGGAACTTTTCTTAAAACCTCCACTTCTGGAGTCTTGTGATTACATTAGGTTCTTTTCCTTTTTCTTTTGAAGAGAATTTACAGCCCTTGTTGGTTGCAGAGTAAAGCTTGAAAGTGTGAATCCTGAAGGCTTAAAAATAGAGAAAAAAAATAAGAGAGCCTTGATGGCTTCAAAATATTATTTCTAAGCTAATCTCATGATTAGTTGAGGACTGATGCATGGTTTCTGAATGTTCATGGAAGGCAGCATTAGCATTTGTTGGAGTTTCATATCAAATTCCTAAAAGCATCTTCAGTTCATAGACCTAGCGCCTAGGGGATTGGCTTGTGAAGGGTTGCTGCCACCTACAGACAAGAACTAGATATAACACACAATAATACTTCAAGTATGAAAGGCATGTAGCATAACAGCCTCTCTCTAAGTAAAACTATGTGTACAATTAGTAGCACTTTGTCAGTCTTAGGATGGTGGTATACTATACCATGAAAGTATTTTTAGCATAAACCATCTTCTGTCAGCAAAACTGAATGTTTGCTGGTATGGCTTATTTTAAAACCCCCAAGTGGAACAAGATATAATGGTAAAAGAGCAAGGCCTCTTGCCAGCATGGTTACCTTTAGTTAATCCTTTTATACTCCTCACCAATTGGCAAAAGCCTATAGTATAGCTTTAGTTACAGTGATCACTTTTACTCAGTCCTATCTGTACAGTCTAGATAGTGATGGTGGTCTCTCTTTATATAAAATAAACCATGCAGCATAGATTGGAATCAAGTTACCTGCATATCTTCTTTGTGCAATTCAAAGTATTCCCTTTTTATGTTTTATTAAACATTTGTGTTTATTATAGGTATTGAACAGGAGAATTTGGTCCACAATATCTTGTGGTGTCATCTGGCACTTATATCAGTATAAGCTGCTTAGTGTTGCTGGACATGGCTTCAATGTTCTGCAATTTCAAGAGGTCAATTACATCAGGGATGTCCAACTTAGTGTCTGGGACCACATCCTCAGGGGCCTTGGCCCCCCCCCCCCTTCCCTGGCTACAAGCTTACCCTGCCATCATGTGGGCAGGTGGTATCCTGCCCCCTCCTTCCCCACTGCACCAGCACTATAGGCTGCACTGAGCTACACCACCCTGCCCTGCCCTGCCCCACTGGGGCAGGAAGTGAAAGCCAGAGAAGGGAGGGGGAAGCTCGAGACTGAAGCCAGAGCAATGAGGGGAATGGTGGACAGGAGGAGCCTAGGGCCACAGAATAATCCCCTGTGGGCTACATGTGAGGTGGGTTCAGCCCCTCATTAAGGGAGTACAGATTTCTGATGCACATGGCCTGAATGCATTGATATCATGAGGGAGTGTCTGGGTACTGCTCGGGTCTTAGATATGATGTGTTTATACTGACAGAAGGAAGACTGAAACAAAGGAAGTCTTCTGAAATTGATCTCAAATGTCATTTCCTCCTAGGTCTGGCTGGCTTTGCTCGTCTCTGTCCTGGAGATCAGTATGAGGTGAGCGTGTTGTCAGTTTGCACAATATAAAAAAGGCAGACATCCGTTACTTTGCACATGAACACACACGTCAGTTTTGTGCTAATGCTTCAGGAATGAGCCACTTTTTCCTCACATGTGTAGTAAAAGTCCTGCTGTTCTTTCTATTGTGAACACATCAAAGGCTTCACCTGAGTAAAAACTTCAGGATCACATACAAAGCACTGGGTGATAGCTATCAAGAAAACAGGTCTGGAAGGCAGGTCTCTTAATACCTCGTTCTTGACATTAGTCTCCACTTGCTCTGCATAGATGGCATCTCCTACACCCAGTCTGGGTGATTGAATGGACCACAATTAGTTTGAGCATTTGTCATCAATCTAACCTAGTTACAGAACTTAACTCTATCATGAAGTTGAGGGGCAGACACACACAGACTAACCAGGGCTGAGGCCCAGATATTCTGTGTTGTGACACTGTGTCAGTATCTAATGACTGTGTTCTCATAGTGGCAAATACTACCGTGTACTGAGACACAGGCTAACCAGGAAGGTAAACCAACTCAAACCTTTATAAAGATTGTAAAAAAAAAGTTATGGTGAAGGAGCCCTACCCCCTCATATAAAAAACACCCATGTATTAATCTAACTAGTATAATTTCTTACTTGTAGTGGCAAGTCCCCTGCTGGGGGGAGACAAGCAACTAGCCTATTTCTGTCTTCTGTTGATGGCAGGTTTTCTGTACAGAACATTGGCCAGATGTCTCACATCTGTCTTAGCTGGATCATCTGCTAGGGTGTCCTGGTCCTTTTACCACTTAAAAACGTAGCATTATGCTTCATTTCAATTGGTGCTGCTGCCTACACAAAATCTTCCAAGAGCTGAGATTCTTCCCTTTGCCCTGTGAGAATCTCGCAGCTCCTGGAGCATCCTGCTTCCTGAAGAGATAGGTGATATTCAGTACTGAGGAGACAGCTGATGAGGAAGCTGGGCCTTGTGACATAAGGAGGTTGTGTGGGAGCCAGAGTAGGATCTGGTATGTGGTACTCCCCAGAGATTCACAGCATGCAGACAGGTTTTTAACTAGCATATTAACCTGGCAAACCTCTTCTCTGAATCTGTACAAGTCTGTCTGGCACCAGTATTATTACTCAGTGACATCAACTCCTTCTCAACCCAATGGCTGAAAAGGAAAAGATTTTCATCTGCTGCTTTCCTGGTTTTTCAAATGAACAGGAAAATGTCCTTTCCCGTGGGTGTTCCTCCATGCTTAATAAGGATACACAGTTCCTTCTTCAGGTGCATTTTAGAAGCTACCCTTTCTCCACTCCTGTAGCCTGGTATTTGTTTGCTGAGAGCGTGGAAGCAAATAGACAAGACATGGGAACTGGAGAACATGAATTTAGAAAATAAGAGTTTTTCTTTCTCATAGATCTTTATGAGGTACGGGCGACAGCGATGGAAACTAAAAGGCAAAATAGAAGTGAATGGCAAACAGAGCTGGGATGGAGAAGAAATGGTCTTCCTTCCTCTGATTACTGGGCTGATTTCCATTAAGGTAAAAAAAATCACAATTTCCAGTTTGAATAATGCTCTGTTAAGAGATGCCTATAAAGCTGGAACATTGGTATAGCACTTTGCTCTCCAGAATCAGCATGAAAATACGCACCTTTTTTGTTATGCACTCAATGACAGAGACCAGTTACCTCTGGCATTATTAGGGTACCTTATTGTATCATAATAAAGTACTACAATCATAGCTATATTATGATACCATCTACATATCAGTCAGTTTGTGGGAAATTATGTCCTGACTCTCCCTTAGCACTGAACTAACATCAAACCTCCATGAACATGGCTTCAGACTGCTACTTTTCTCAAACAAACTGAAGCAAAAAAATGGAAAACTGTGCATGCCTTTACAAACTGATTTGCTGGAATAAGGAATGACAACTTTTAAGCATGGTAGGCTGAAGAGGTATAGAATGTTCTGATTTGAGCTTGCACAGCAGACTAACCCTGAGTGGTTCAGCGCATACCACTTTCCACATGGCTGCACTGGTAGGGTAACACAAATGTCAGTGCTTAACTGCAATAGGAAAGGGTGCTATCAAAAAACCTTAACTTAGACAGAAAGGCATTTGAGGCCTCCAAGGTATTGTCTATACTACTAATCTTCACTGGATAGAATGTCAGATCTGCTCAAGTAGGTGAAATTAAGTTATAATCTAAAGATTGGGTAGCCTACAGAACATTGCTTTTATCCTTTTTCGCTAACTTCTTTAGCATATGCAGAGCTCTTGGTTTGGGACAATTTAAATAAGGGACAGTCCTAAAAATGATCTCTCTGTGAAATACTAGCCAGAAAACTCTACATAAATATGTGAGCTGCTTTAAAAACTGATTTAAAGGAAAACTCAAATGAATGAGATGTGTGTGGCAAACCTAATCTGTTGAAGAAAGGGAAATCCAGATCTAATAACACAATTCCTAAATTTTAATGTAAGTACATGAAAAATGTTATGTTTGGCAAGTGTGAACTATGATTATTTAGGCTTGACATGCTAAACACCTTTACCATTAAGCTTTATGGACTATTCTATCCACGGAGTTGAAGTTAACAGATTTTGGGCCTATTTTTCAAGCAACTTCATGGCCAATTGTGCTCCCAATTTGTACACAATTTTGGGTCTGTTTACGCTCACCTAAGGAGTCCCCTGTGATTCAGTGGTAGAATCCTTGTCTACCACACAGGAGACCTGGGTTCGATTCCCAGACACTTATACAACTACAGCCGTGGAGGCACCAAACATTTGGACTCAGTCTGATCTTTGGATTCTGTCTCAGTGGCCTAAAGGGAGGTTGGAAGGTCTGGGCAGCCTCCATGTCTCTGAAAATTCCTGCCCAGTCTTATGCATCAAAGGTCTGGGTGGTCCTCATACATACACCATGATCCAGGAGGATCGACAGTTGCCATCACACTCACCTAATCATAGTAACCTGCATATGTGGTTGCAAACATGATTTGCACATGCAAACAAAATAATCACATGTGCATTTTGCAGGCATGGTCATAAGTGAGTGTGCATTTTATTATATGCTATAGCTCATGGAAAAAAAAATTAAAAAATAGCCTTATAATATCTTATACCAATGTTTCAGAAGAAAGCCAAATAATTAGCTTTTAATTAAACATATATATCATTAAACGCAACCACACACGCACACACATATATATATATATATTCCCTACTACAGCTGTTTTCCTTTGCAGGTCACAGAAGTTAAAGGACTTGCTACTCACATCCTGGTGGGAAGCGTAACCTGTGAAACAAAGGATCTGTTTGCAGCCCGTCCTCAGGTGGTTGCTGTTGACATCAATGATCTTGGCACGATAAAGCTGAACCTCGAAATCATCTGGTAGTAAGTAGAAGTGTTGGACAGTTCTGTGGCGCAGTAGCTTCTCAACCCCCAATGGAATCTCATTCTTTAGATTCTTTGGTGAAGAGCAGTGAGAGAGAATGATGGCCCACTGGTGGGACTTGAGAGACCAGGGCTAAGTTCTCTTTCCAGCTCCAGGTTCTCTGTATGACCTGGGGCAAGTCTCTTTGTGCTTCACTTCTGCATCTGCAGAATAAGAATAATAGCATTTCCCTCCCTAACATTAAAGGTGCTCACACGTGATAGCAAGGGGAGCCATACAAGTACTATAGATCAGAGGTTGGCAACTTTCAGATCACAGGTCAGATCTGACCCAGGGAGCCATTGCACCTGGCCTGCAGATGCAGGGCAGATGAGGGGCTATTGCAGTATACTACACTGCAGTAGGGCGAAACAGCAGTAGCCATGGCTAGATCCTAACACCCACCCCTTCACCTCTGACCCTAGTTGAGTCATTCTGTCTTGCAACCTGAAAGAGTTGCCAACTGCTGCCATAGAATAATACTACTTGAAACTCAGTTAATCAGAATGCAAAATTGGGACCTTAATGTACATACAAAAATCCTATTTTACACTGGAGTAAACATTAGTGGAACTACTCCGGATTTACACTTGCATAACCAAGAACAGAATTTAGGTCAGGCTGATGAAAACTAGCATTTGTGTGCCTGACATGTGCCTCAGGGCAGTAAGCATAGACGGATACAGTTAGAATTCAAAGCAAGACTTCATGGCATTTAATGAAGCAGCTACCTGTTATCTTTAAACAAGCCCTGAAGCATTTAGCTTTTACGCTAGCGTACCTTTTTCCTTATACTGCAATGAAGTACATAACCAATGATGACAACTCCTTCATCTCTTTATAATGCAACAGCTCTTTTAAAAGTTGAGCATCTTATTGCTATTCATGATTCTTGTCAACTCGAATACAAGAATGTTCTTCATGCTGTAGGAGTCGCATCTCAGAGAGTACATAAAATTATTCCTGGTGGTGGATTACTTTTATCATAAATGAAAATCACACTTCTAAGCTAGCTGCCTAACAAACAGGGTTTTAAAAAAAACATTTTGGTTGAAAAAAGATCTTTTTCTCAACTTGATGCTAAAAATCAGCATTTCAATAGACTGTTCTAATTACACTTATTTTTTAAATTTTAAGGGACAACCTCCCTCTCCCCCTGCCCTTCCCTGTATTTACAATTCAGTCTCACTTGGCCTAATAAGTGTGGCATTATTTTTGCAGTCCATTTGATGTTGAGGACCTCACCCCCTCCACGGGAAATGTGAACAAGGCATCTGCTCTCCAACGGAGGATGTCTATGTATAGCCAAGGCACTCCAGAAACACCAGTCTTCAAGGATCGCTCATTCTTTGTAAGTGAAACTTAGCCTCTTACTTGTCACATGAGAAAACATAGTGCCTTACCAAGCAGAGTAAATGCTTAACTGCTTTATATTCATAATGCATTTTCTCCATCTTAAACAAGATGCTCTTTACAAGTACTTTATTTAAATACACACACCTTTAGCCATTCAGCCTAAAAGGGGAAATATGACTAGGTTCCCACAATCTTAAAATATGTTAAATTATTTGTTGCCCATACTTCTTGCTTATGTGTTATAATCTTTGCATAGACTACAAAATGTCAAACTGCACAACTACAAATCATAATAAAAAAAAAAATCCTGTTTAATCTCATTCTGGGTGAAATTCACCACTATGCAAGAGACCTCAACAAAGTCAATATGCCACTTTAAATCCCAGTTACATCTCAATCTGTAGAATTAAGCAAGAGTTTGGCCTTCTGTAGGCTATCTGCACTGATGTGAATTTCACTCATAACCAGTATGCGTAAAAGCCAGCCATTTAAGTGTTATGAACTGTGAAGCCTTCAACTAACTCTACACTTTGCTTTCACTGGTGAAGAAATGGTTGCATCGTCCACAAGACAAGCTGCAGTTGACAGCTTTTGATGCTCTGCAAGACACTTTCTTTGACAAGCTTCGGCGTAGTCGCTCTTTTAGTGACCTGCCATCTCTCAGGCTGAGGCCTAAACCAGGGCTTGAGCTCTATGTGGGTTTGGCTGGAGAGAGGTCTCTGTGTGATGAACAAGTGTCTCAGGTCTGAGAGTGTCTTTTAACTCTATGCATGCTTTGTTTGCTCTTTTGCATTGTAGTTCACTTATTTTGCTGACTGGCTACAGGAGAGACTACATCTAGTGAGCTGAGCCAAACGTGCTCTCGTTGAAGTCAACAGCAAAATGGCCACTGACTTCAGTAGAGCCAGGCTTGCAGCTTTCTATCTAGGGATGAGGCAGAAGTAAAGAGACAAGAGCACATGCAAGTGAAACTAACTGGTTTTAGGAACACACAGCTAGAGTGGGTGGTACTCAACATTTTTCTAGCAACCCAAATTCCAACACTGAAATAATTTATTTTTAAAAATTACACATATAAAGGGAGTAAAAAAAATTAAATATAGTTAGACTGAAAGATACTAATAGCATTGGAAAGTAATTCAAAATAATTTTCAATGTTTTAATCATATGAACTAAGCCATTTTATAAATGCTTATGGACACTGTCAGCTAATTGTCAGCAAAAACTAGTCATTTCACATCTGTGTTATGTCCTTGTGTGAGGAACATTTGCAGTGCACTTCAGAAAACTCAAGGCCTATTCTAGAACCTAGATTTCATGTTTCCTATGATCCTTTTGAATAATGCTGACACTTCCCACTTTTCTACATTTTTCCTTATACTTTTAATATATTCTGTATTTCACGTCCCAATCTCCATTTAAAAGATTAGATAAAATTCATTCCAAAGCTCCTGATGGCTCAAACTATAAAAAGCCATGCTATAAAAAGTCATTAGAAATCTTTTAATCTCCTATGTATTTTGTACCCAAAGGCTGCATCGACACGTGCACTTTACTGTGCAGTAGACTAATTAGCTGTAGAGTAAAGCATCACTGGCTACATGTGTGACGGTATTGTGGCACAGTAAATTAATTAACATCACCATAAGATAGTACTGTCAGAGCCAGACAGTACTGTTTTACGGCAGAGACAGTACTATCTTATGGCGGATTAATGAACTGTGATTAAATGTATGAATAGATGCTGACCACAGGCATAAATTGCACCCGGTCAGCCCAGTCAGTAGGGGGCCAGACTCCCATCTGCTGCGTAGCCACATGGCTCTGCACTTTTAGCACCCTTGTACCCCAGCCAGCCCCTCTGCTGCCTGACACTGCCACCCAGAGCCCAGGGCAGAGAAGGGCAGGAGTGGCCCTGGTGCAAACTGCTCTGCCCCAGCTCAAATTGCTGCTATCTTGGGCACACGTGTAGATGCTGCGCCTGGGAGTGTTTTACTTCAGCTGAAACTGCTTCAGAGTTTACTGCTTCAAATTAATTGCACGTGTAGATGCACCCAAAGATATTAAATACAAAGCATGCATACATTTTGCTGTTTCCATGGCTTTGTGATAAAGGCCACATTTCTCTTGTTTTTATGCATTCAAGCAAAAGTTTCTAGACAGGTCTACATACCAGCTTTTGGGTCCCAAATTTTGCTTTCCCTACATGTGCAAAGATTTCACAGACATCAGTGCTAAATGTATACATCTGAGAACTTAAGTTCCTCTATGCATACCAAGAGTAGAATTTCACCCTTATCTATACACTCTTCTGATTTTTACCTGTCATATTAGCACAGGACTATGCAAAACAGTGTCCTGTTCTTACCTTTACTCTCTTATATGGCCCATGCTCCAATAGTTATTGATATTTGTTTAACAAATACATTTTTTTTGTCTAAAGGACTGCATGAATAATTTCACTATTAAAATGGTATAATAGAAACACTAAATAACCCAAGTAGCTAAACAGCTTTATGATCCTGGAATTTTCCTTTGTTATTACTTTCCATGTGAAGAAAAAAAAAAAAAAAGGAATGATAAATTATGAGCAACCAGTAAATGGGTATAAACATATAGAAAGTAAATGGCATAAAATTCCAGCAAACTTTTAAAAATTACACCAAGTACTGTAGTAAACTAAGAAACATGAATTGAATGGCTATCTATGAGTTAATATGATATATATTTGGATCTTAATATGTTAGAAGGCCCAGTTTACTTTTCCTGCAGAGGAAGATACTGACCAAACTTCCAGACCCAATGTTGCAGGTAGAAAACCCACCAATGTCAGTTTTGCCAGCTAAATCTGCTACACTCTCTCAAATCTTGAGTATTCTTTTAATCTCTTTTCCTTCGTTTTCTTTGGTGAGCCCTACATCATTCATTGTGGTGCTTTTTCCAGTATTGAATGTAAAATATTCCCTATATTAACAAGTTTATAATATCTTTGCAGTCCAATTCACCAGACGACATTTTTGAAAATGGGATGACATCCACCGAGAAGAGACCCCTCTCTTTCACTTTTGGTGATATGCCCTATGAAGATGGAGTTCCCCCAGCCAACTTGAATTCTTCCTCAGCCACTGTCAGTTCCAATCCTGAAATTACTACAGAGCGCAGTGCTCGCAAATCCTTAAACTCAATCTTGGACAGTACTAGTACAAACTCATCCATGGACTCCACACCTGAGTCAAAAGACTTCAAATCACAGCTAGAGCACACACCAGTAAATGAAGACAAGAAATTTTCAAGAGCTGCTTCTGAAGGTTGCCAAAAGCTTTCAGGTGCTGGAAACGATGCCCTCTTCATAGATACTAGTGTCCCTGTGTCTCTTCTCCAGGATACAGATGAAGTGTCAGAGCTAAAACCTGTGGAACTGGACACGTATGAAGGCAACATCACTAAACAGCTGGTAAAAAGTCTTACCTCAGTGGAGGTTCCAGTGATACCTGAAAGGCTGCAGTGTGAGGGATCAATAAGTGGGGAATCAGAAGGATATAAGTCTTACTTAGATGGAAGCATAGAAGAAGCCTTGCAAGGGCTTCTTCTAGCACTTGACCCACATAAAGAGCAGTATAAGGAATTTCAGGACCTGGACCAAGAAGTGATGCATCTAGATGACATCCTAAAAGTGAGTACCTTTTCAGAAAGTACCTCCCTCAAAAAAATCTGAATGCATATCATATAAATATGATACAAGAAGTCAGAATGAATATTCTAAACATCAAAGTATGGATTGTTCTGACTGCTAGTAACATTCCTAAGAATCAATTGATTTTTTCCAATGATGCATCAGCTGTCACCTTGGAATGACACATTTTTAAGCTATTTGCTGTTATTCTTGAGCTATTTGTGCTTTACTCTAATTGAGAGGAATAGAGGAAAACAGGAGATTACCATATAAGTGAATAGTTTTCTCTGCTGCAGAAACTTTATCGTCTGCATTATGCAAGAAGGCAGATCATAGCAGTCCATTTTGCTCCTAAAAACTGATGTGCCATATCTGTACCAAGCTATTTTCATTTAAAAAAATTAGCAATCTGTGCCAATTTATATTATCTGACAAATTGAAGCCATAACTGTAGTTTCTGGAATGCCTAGGTGACTTAGGTGCACAAAGTGCATCAAATGTCACTTGGACTTTTGCTCTTACGTCACATACACTCTTTAAAAACCCTCTTCTTCTGGGCAACTAAACATTGAGCCCTGTAATTTAGTCTAGGACAGACCACGCGTGTGATGAAAGGTAGAAACGAGGAAAAGTGCTTTTGCATGTATGCCACAACAAAGTGCATTAACCCTGGATTCTTTTCACAACCATTCACTATGACTCCCCATTTTCTCCACAAATAAAAAAACAACATGATTCTGTACCACGAAAACAGTGTCACCTGGGAAGAACTCATTTCAGATGGTTCATATTCATATGCAAGGTAGTATTTTACAATGATTTGAGATGTGTAGACACAGTCATGTAATTTAAGAAGAATGTGCCCAAAGAAAGGAAAGTAATTCTCCTTTTGCTTTACCATTTTTAACATCTGTGTTTCCATTGGCATTTGCAGCTACATAACACTTTTCCCAGTTAAGTGCTTTTTTCACAGCCAGACGCTCCTCAACTCTGCTCCGTGAACTAGCTCTGAAGTGGAAATGCGTATGAGAAACTACAAGTATCATTTAGTTTTGAACTTCCCAGCTGCCTTTACTACTTGTGCAGCTGTTAGCGCAGAGGGACAAGGGAAAGCACTCTTCTTCTCTCTAGCAAATGTATCATGCTAAGGAACAGAGGGAGGGATTCATGTGCAGGTGGAATACTTGGATACTTGAGATGACTATTCCTTCAAGGATACTTTTGTTCCACCGTTCAGCCTGTTTGCTTGTGAACCAAGACTAACGTGTCCCTAATTGTGGTACTGGAAATCATGTGCAGAAGGGGTGAAAACAGAAGGTAGCTCTAGCTGAAGAAAGCTTCTCTTGACTATGCCAGTGGGCAGAGAAAGTTGGCAGCATGGCTGCTACGCTTTGCATTTGTGCAGGAAACTGGGAAGCTGCTTTTCTGCCCCCTAACAAAACCATAGGTAAAAACACAGAAATTAAATGAAAAGCTGAATGCTACTTACCTATCTCACAGGGGTGTTGTGAGGATTGTCTGATCAGTCAATGCTTGTACAGTAATTTGAAGATGTAAAACCATGTAAATGTTAAAGTGTTAATGTTATGTAGGTAGATTAGAAGCAAAACTCCAAGCCATCCCAATTCTCACTGGGAATTGGATCTGCACTTTATAGCTAGCCCATCTTTCATCTCAGCCAAATCAGACCTCTGAATCAGAATGCCAACTCTTTGGGAGGTTCAGGTCTGGAAGCACATGCTGTGGTATAAGGCCATCTCTGATTATATGATTAAGTAAAGTTAAGACTGTAAAATAAACGCTAAACAAACTGCTGGAGCTGACCTCAGGGTGTCGCCTTAGGCTGCGATCCTGGAAAATGAAGCTCAAAAGCAAACCTCTGTGCCTATACAGAGCCCCACTGGCTGGGTCTCTCCATAAGGCAGAAAGTCTGCCTGCCTGGAGACATCCTACTGTAGCTGTGCAGCTTTGATCAAGCTTCCTCTCTGTTATTCCAGGTTTCTCAGTCAGTTCCTTTCTATTGGTAAGGAAGGGTGGTTCCCCTCCAGCTGAGTTGTAAAGTTGTCTCTTCTGTAATTAGGAACCTCTTTGACAATGTATGGCTGATCTGTACTAAATACAGTATCTTGTGCTTTTAAAGAACCATGGAAGTTAATGGGGTCATTTTTCCATCTCACTCTTCTGATCCTGTACTGTGATCTGTGGAAAGGGGACCAAATCCATTGCTGATTCAACTCTACTGGAATTACATCAGAAATGAATTTTGGCCCAGTACAGCTTAACTAAATCTTTGTAACCAAGCTTCTGTACCTAGATTATCCCTGTGAAATGTGCCTTATATTTTCAGCATCCCATATGTTAACAGACTGATCTCTTAAAAAGTCACTGAAGTCTATGTCACTGAGTTTTAAGTTATACATTTGTCACTTTGATAGCAGAGAGTTAATATTAGATTCAATACTCTTCTTTTGGTATTTGGATTTTTTTCAGTTCTCAGGCTTTCACTGTATGTCGTATGAATATGAAGATTTGAAATGAATACAAAGCACCCAATAAAATGATCTTATACAAATAAAAAATAGAGCTTGAATGTTTTAAGTTGATCCATTTTTTTCTGCAGTCAGTAATATTCTTGGTTTTCATTGGTGCGTTCTGCCTTTGCAGTGCAAGCCAGCAGTAGACCGGAGCAGGTCCTCCACTTTAAGTCTAACAGTTGAAAGTGCTTTAGAAAGCTTTGATTTCCTGAACACCTCTGACTTTGATGATGAGGATGGTGGAGGTGATGAGGGTTGTAATGGTGAAGGAGGTGCTGACTCAGTATTTTCAGACACTGAGACTGAGAAGACTAGGTAAGTGCGCAGCAATTGCCAGATTGCGCGTCTCAAATCAAGCTGCTACACTAGTTCTCTCTCACTAACATTGGATCCTGGTGCACTCATTACTCAAGGAAGATGAAGCTAAACCTTTGAGGAGACTACAGATTAGCAGTTTTGACCATGGTTACTACACACCAAATTCTCAAATTCCCAGATAATTTTTTTTGTTCAAATATCTACAGTCTCTCCCCCACCAAAAAAAGAGAAGGCTAAATTGACTAACTGGATATCAATGCCTACAGAGCCTCTTCCTTGACATAGGTTTGGACCTGGTGTTCTTCGATTCAGATGTAATAACTAATTCCTTTGTGGTTTTCTTCTCCCCCTGTCTCTTCTCTCTAGCCCAGTGAGTCTTTGCAGTGGATTAAACTTGTCAGTAACAGTAACACAGGGCCAGATTTAAGCAGCATGGTGTAGGTTTCCTTTGGAATGTAAGAGTGATGGCTGGTACTTTGTCCATGGCCCTGTGTGTGGTGTGCCCTTCTTTCATCACTTCTGTGTATGTGAGAAAACAATTCATCATGTTTGTCTTGTAGCCGGTTGTTTTCACATCACCTGTGGCAGCTGACTGTGTTTTATCATTCAATCCTTGTGCGTACATCTGGGAGAGGCAAAACGAGGCCAAATAAACCATATACACAAATAATATGGCTGAAAAGAAGCAATCAATACAGGCAGAATCTCCTAAGGAGGGAGTCTATTGCCCTCAGCATCTCATGGGTCACCTAAAATAATTTCAAGTATAAGAAACTAATTGTTCTGGCAATAAAACTACCACCTAACTGCATGTTCCCTCCCTTCCCTCCAAAAAAACATATAACTTGCTGGGGGGAGGTAGGAAGGGGAATCCTAGAATGATTATGTTGCTTGCTAAATTAGGTATTATTGACTCTATCCTACTTCTTTTGAGGTAAATGACATAACTATATTGACTTCTCCCAGTGAACATGATCAGGCTCTGCATAAACAGCAAATATTTAAGTTAAAACAAAGGTTAATTTAAACAAAGGTTTCATTTTTCCCTTGATGAGGACAATGAAATTCAGCCTAAATGCCAGTTTCTGATTTTAGATACGCAAGTGTGCACATCAGTGTGTATTCTGTAGCATCCAACTTGAAGACAGCAGGTGCTGTAATCTGAGTACACATTGCAATAGCTGCCTGCATATTTGAGATCAGAACTGGGCTCTGCCTTCACAACTGTGACAGAATATGGTTGAAGGCACAAGAAACTGAATAGAATGATTTAAACACAGTGATAATAGCTTTATGCTGTCATAAAAGATGTGATGAACTGTTTTGAGTTATACACACCATGCCTAAAACAACATATGGAAACATCATGTCTCTTACTCCAGCACCAGTTCTAGTTTGCTCCTTGGCTGACAATTAAATCTGGTGCCAGAAACACACTGACAGATTAGTTCTTAATGGCTTAACTTTTGAGAGCTCTCAAAATTTTAAAGCAGTTTAATCCAGAACAATTTAGTAACAATGCTGCCAACAGATGGAAAAAAATAACAAGTGCTAATGAGGGCAGATTTCAGAGACTTCATGGTGAGTTCGCCACAAAAGACGTATTGTTCTGGAGAAAGAAGTGGACCACTGTGGAAGCAATTTGTCTTTTAAATGTGTACAATCATTCCGCATTTGCTACACAATGTTACTACCAATTTGAGATATGATGTATTCATTAAAAGGTTTCTGGCCTATCAATTGCTGCTTGTTACAGATCACAGCTTTCAGCAATTTTTGTGCTTGATGTTAGTCATGTTGAGCTAACCATGTGCTTTGTCTGCATAAGGAGGATAAAAACCCAGCAACTCCTCACTCACCTTCCTGCATTAACAGTTACAGGACAGAACACCCAGAAGCCAGAGGGCATCTTAGCGAAGCTTTGACAGAAGACACAGGAGTTGGTACCAGTGTAGCTGGAAGCCCTCTTCCGTTGACCACAGGGAATGAGAGTCTTGATGTAACCGTAGTTAAGCATTTGCAATATTGCACACAGCTTGTTCAGGTACAACTGCTCTTTGGGTTTTATTTTTCTTTAAACTATTCCTAAGAAGCATGCATGTCTGTCACTTACAGACCATTCTGAACTCACTTGCAAATTAAGCACTCATGAAATGAGGGAGTGGTAGCAATGAACTGAGTCAAGCCTGTCAGGAACCAGGAAAGCCCCTCCAAATGTAATTCCAAACATGCCAAGCCTGCAAAACATCTTATTCCACTCCTAGCCCTTTTGCCAGCAGAATGCCAGGCAAACCAAAGTAAGGCAGTCAGCTACTAGCAGCCACTAAGGACAAAGATTGAACTTATCCAGCACACCTTCGCTGGGACCCAACACCTAACAGTGCTCCATGTTTGAAGCTCCACTGACCTCAGCTGGAATTCACACACAAGGCAGCCACAAGACCCAGGTCATCTTATGAACTCAGATTTTTTTGTGGTAAAATGAAAAGCCTACTGACCTACCATTCACACTAACTAAATCCCAGACCACTGCCAGCCAAGAAAATCACTGGCAACCAAGTATCCGTGATGCTGAAAAGCCCAGAGCTGTTGTGTGTGTGAAATAATTCAGATTTTATGTGATAGGCAGGGATGCCATGTGAAATGTTACATTTGTTTTATGCTTTGGGCACCAGCACCACGGAACATACTGCATTGTACCACAGTCAGTCAATGAATCAGTCCAAGAAATCAAACAGGCAGCATCTGTCAGCACTAACTCATATGCCTTCAGGGTGTGTATACAAGTGCTCTGTGCACATTTTACATCACTGAAATTTAGAGCATTTTTAGAGCACTATAAAGTTACAGCACTCTTAAACATGACAGAAGTGCAGTGTTGTGGGGGGCTCTGAACTCCCCTGCACTTTCCAGGCTAGGAGGCAGGAGGCGCTCTACAGCCTCCTAGGGCTTTTTCACTAGTCAGGAATTTGACAAGTATACAGAAGTTATTTAAAGCACTGCAGGTTGCTAAAGTGCTGTAAAATACAGGCAGTCCTTGACTTACAATGGTTCGAGTTACAATGTTTGGAAATTGACACCCTGTTTCAACTTCATGATGTCAGTTTCAACTTACAATGCTTGATCCAATGCAATGCCATGCCAGCGAACAAGTTTGCTGCATTGCTTATGTCCCTGGAGAACATCTGTCCAAACTTCCTTGGACACTTTCTTTAAGAAAGCAGACAAGACTCCAGCAAAACCTGCAGCCAAGGCTCCCGAGAAGACCCCAGCCAAGAACCCTTCAAAAAATCCAACCAAGAGCCCTTCAAAAAGTCCAGCAAAGTCACCTCAAAGGAGTCCTTCCAAATCAACATGATTGCTATTTACAGTATAAATACATTCATGTAGCTATATTACTCGTGTAGAATTGATCAAATACAAAATTCTGGGGTATTTTAGGTGAAAATAGGGTATTGGGCCTTGGTTCAGGAACCAATCCCCCATTTATAACATTGTTTCTTATGAGAAAATTGGTTCTGAGTTACAATGTTTTGACTTAAGATGCAGTTTTTAGGAACCAATTATGTCGTAAGTCTGAGGACTGCCTGTACAGCGCTTCAAATTTAATACTTCATTTACCAAGGGTTAAAATTGTTAAATTTAAAGCGCTGTACACATTTTTTAAATGCTGTAAAGCCCTGTTAAGTCACGGCAATAAAGTGTTTTAAATACTGGAAAAAAGCAACTTTTGTGACACACTCTCAGTGACATGTTCAGTCACTGAGTCCCAGTCACTGTAATGTATCACAGGATTTTGTTTCTCATAGGATCCATGACTTATTTATAGAGCAGTGCTTTCCTGTCATTTCAAAACATTTTAAAGCCTCTTTCTTGCATTTTGCTCTTTGGTCTCATACCATTAACATACATTTCCAAGATCCCACAGAAACAATGGAAAGCAAGTCCTGATTCCAGCATCTGGAGTGATGATGCTCAAATCCCTACCAAGTAGAGGTAGAGTAAGGAAGGTATTTAGGGCTCAGTACAGGAGTGATTGTATTAACGTTGTGGCCTGTGTAATGGAGATCAGATTAATGTTCCTTTTTGGCTTTCAGATCCATAGATTTTAATCATCTGTAGCCATGCATACATGGCGAACTTGTCGTACCAGGCAACAGTGCCCTCAGGCACACTGCACTGCTTCCTGCAGCTTGCTCCCTGAGCTGGAAACAACACTATGAGGCACTGCAGGCAGGCAAGCATGGAAACAGGCTAAGTGGCCGTGTGACTCAGCAGTGCTAGTTAGCTTGCCTACTGTGCAGGTTTATCGCTGCTGCTTCGAGTTTGGTAGGTTGCTGCACTTGAGGGCACAGCTGTCTGGCATAGGAAGCTTACCGTGTAGATAAGGCCTTTATGAAAAGCAAGGTGCCTAAATTAGTACTTCTTTATTTAAATGATTACTCTGGTCTCTGGTTCCAGATTTAGTCATTTAATGTAGGCATCAGGCACAAAAATTGGCCCATAGATGATAAGCCAGGTCATAGATAAGAAACAAAAGAACATCTGATATTAAGGAGGCATGGTTCAATGAATTTATCAGTACATTTGCTCAACTAGATGGATTCAAATCAGAGGATTTCAGCAAGATGAAAATTCTTCGGAGTGTTATAGTTCAGTAACACCATCCCATGCTTTTTTTTTTTTT